ATGGACAATCCTCAGTAATCTGTAATATCAACATCAACAACACAGAAGGTATGTGTGTGTGTGTGTGTATGTGTGTGTGTGTGTGTGTGTGTGTATATATATATGTAAGAACAGGAGGTCAAGACCTCCTTTCAGTGTGGGAACTCTTTGTGCTTGCACTAGATAGAAACAGGACTAGAGAAATACATTGTGCCTAGCATTTAGCTATTATCAGCTAAGGTGCCTGGTTTCCTCTTCAGTCCATCAGAAGTTGCCTTGGGAATTATCATAGAGTGCCATGCCTTGCTACCAATTAAATGTATGTCTTGCTTTTTCTCAGAATCTGTAACTTGGAGCTTTTACCTACTTTCCCTTGATATATCTTCACTTCTGCCTCTGGATATAATTCGAAGGCATTGCTAGGAAAGTTCAAACATGTACAAAATGAAGGTCAACCATGTACAATAACACTATCTTCCAAATCACAAGCTAGAAAAGTTGTTCTTAAACTAGGAGATATTTGGGCACATCCTGGGGATAATGCAGTGATTTGTAATTGATTCTTTGTGAGTCAAGGATCCAGTTTGGGATTGCCACTGCGAAAGTGCTTGTGTAAAACAACACAGTTTGGCATTTTTGTGGCACTAATGACATTATTTGAGACTAGGAAAAGGGATAATTGGGTCAAGCAGTTTAAGACTCACTCAGCTAGAAGAAAGCAACTGTTATAATTAAAACCTAAACTAATCAAATTGTTGATAATTTCTAGTTTAGCAATTTCACATTAAAGTCTCCTTTTTCTATTGAAGATGTAAAACAAAATCATCGAGAGAGGAAAAAAAGGAATTGGCTAAACAAGCAATAATTACTATGTTCATATGCAAGATGACTGTTTAACAGATAATTTACAATACACCATGGCCTAATGTGATATGTAAATACAACTAAAGTTTCTTTGTTCTAGTTCCTGCACAGAGCTAACTTCATTAATTAAGGTTCCTAAGCAAGAGATCCCAATGGGCAAGTTTGTGAGCTTCTGGCTATCTCCCCTTCCTATAGCTAAGGCATCAGCAAAATTAAGTTCCCTGCAACTCATTAGAACAAATCACTCATCCTGGAACCCCATCTTCACCTTTCCTTGGTACACACTGATATGATAGACTAAATTATTGGCCTATAATGTCTGATTCTTGGTACATCCTGTAGATAGTAAGGTAGGTAGGTAGGTAGGTAGGTAGGTAGGTAGGTAGGTAGGTAGATAGATAGATAGATAGATAGATAGATAGATAGATAGATAGATAGATAGATAGATAGATAGATAGATAGATGATAGACATAGATACTAAGATTATGTCAACAGGCAATGCCAACCCAATGCAAAGAGACAGAAAAGAAATTGAAGTAGCAACCTAGGCTCAAAAATTTACAAGGATGACATCTGCTACTTGGAAAAAAAGAGTATGACAGACAGATCTAGACAAAATAATACGCAGAGACATCATACTGACAACAAAATAATGTATTGTGAAATAGAATTTGGGGGTCAAACTAAAAAGCCCCTAACCCAAATATACGTTCCAGAGAAACTAAAGTGCTAACTCAGCTATACAGGAATTAGACACAAAGAACATTCAGTTAAAGGAGAAAATGACGT